CCGAACTACATTAGAAAGTGCAAGAAATAATGTTTTTACGACAGGAAGAGTTTTTATTTCATTATTACAGTGGTAACTATTATTTCTTGTATATTAGCCAATTCCTTGTGATATTTCGAAGAGGTCTTATTAGTTGTGTTAAGTTTTGTTGGGTATCGCATTTTGTAAAAAAATCTTTAATAGGATAGATTAAGTACCATTATTATTATTCGATTGAACATTCAATTCTTCGAATAACTCCAAATTTAATTAAAGATATTAAAAACCCAATATTTAAAGTTTAAGTTTTCATGTTAACTTGAGTTTTGTAAGACAGCTAGACAAGAATCATTTTATCGACTGTTCAAAAGGTTGGCAATAATTTCAAAGGTTTAAGCGAAAGTAATGAAAAAATAATAAAGAATACAAAACCATAATTAAAATTACTAGACCTTTTTTTTAGAAAATCTTTTTGAATTCAAGAATAGTCTATTAAACCTGCTTTAGGTTTGACATACGTACAGTACATTACATTTTAATCGAAAGTGACGTTTTTAACATACATAAGTATGCAAGTATGATTGGTATAATAACCTTATTATAAACATGACATGATGCGTATTATCAATAAACTATCAATAAACAGTCAAGTAAATGATATTCTAAAAAACAGCGAAAGCAATCTAATGTAAGGAATATATAATGTTGAAAACCTTATACTAATCAACTTTGTTTATAATTCTATTCAACACTAATTTTACTTATGTTGGACTCTATTTTTTATTAAAAAAATTAGGACGGTAAATTAAAAAATCTCTTGATTTTAATCAAGTAATTGGTAACGGCTATATTCACATGCGTAATTTCCAATTTTATACATTAATTTTACTTTAGCGTTAGGTTCACTATCTATAAATCATAATCACGTGTAATTTTCTAAATAAAAAAGTAAAACGAAGAACAAAAAATACGTGGTAATAATGTTTTACATGAAAAGAAAAAATTATTTAAAATAATAACACATCAAACATGGGCGCCGCATGAATACTTTCTGAAATATAATAAATTAAATCTATAATACTGATTTAAATCGAGGTATACAATAAAATTTATGTCTATATAGAACATACGTATGGCAATGACATTTTAAAATTAGAAAAAATCAATATTTAAGTTAATATGATATTATAATGTGGAATATGGGGTTATTTATTATGCGCAAATCCAACTTTTTTGTTTTTCACATCAAATACTGAATATACATTTCTTAAAAATGTTTGACCAAGGAGCCAGACATCAGAAGGAAGAGAATCCCCAGAAGGTATAATAGACGATATGCAATCAGTGCCACTTATTGGTGCCAAAATCAAATCTTTGGATTGAATTGAAAAATCAACACCTCCAAATCTAAAGGCAACTACAGCAGTAGTATCGCATGGGATAATGTATAAATCATCTTGACTATCAAATACGGCTCCCGGAATTTGGTTATGAATTGCTGCAGTGTCATTGTCAGGTAATATGAGAATTGAAGTGCCAGTGTCAATGATTGCGGCCTTCCCAAGAAAAGACAATGGTTTGCTATCAACGATTGCATCATCTAAATTTATTACCCAAAATCCATCTAATGGTAATTTTATACTATTTAAAGGATTAAATGTAATTTCTCCTTTAAATTTCGTTTTATCAACACCACCCAAGGTGAAAGTTCCTTGATCATCAAAATCTAAAGCACGTTGAAAATGAAAACTAAAAATTGGTCTAATTTTCTTTTGTTTAATCAAAGTAGAAATTAGCGTTTGAGTGCCATTATCAATAGTGTTCAAACTATCAAAAGCTAAACCCAAAATTCCATCATTTTCTAAGGGTATAAAAAAATCAGATATATTATTTGCAAGGCCAAAAATTTGGTTATCAGCAGTAAAACGTCCAATTTTAACATTATCAATTCCGGTAATACCGGAAGCAAAGCCAGTGCCGTATTGGATAGACCAAGGATTACCTTCTTTTTTAAAAGTTGGCGAGCTACTTGGATTAAATCTATTATGATTTTGACAAGCAGCAGATGTACAATCCTTATTTGGAATCCAGAGATTTGAAGACCCAGTATCTAAAAGAATATTGAATTCTTGGTTTCCAATAATGATTTTTGCGTAATAGGAAAGATCTAGCTGAATATCTTTTATAAACAAGGTGTCTTTCTTTTCGTCAGAATTTATTTCGTTGAATGTTGTTGCTACATCAGATGTGGTTTTTACATCAGAGGATTTTTCATTCTTAGAAGTTTTTACATTAGATGCTAAATTAGAGTATTTATTTATGGCTGCTTGTCTTAAAGTTTTTGCCATATCAATTGCATCTGTTTTATTCAATACAAAAAACCTTTTTACCAAGTTAAAGGTATGTGATTGCTTATTATTAGGATATGCATTTATGTCGTAAATGACAACTATGGATAAGATGATAAAAAGAAAAATTAATTTCATGGTCACTATTAAAAAATGTTTGTTATTAAAAGTATAGAAATCCTAATTTTCGTTATATTATGAAAAAAAGTGAATTTCCATGAGGCTCTGAAAATTCTTGTTTTTATTTCGTTCTGAAGTATTACGAAAGTCTTTGGGCATGTAGAGTAACTTATTAAAAAATGCATGTAATATAAATTTTGAAAGCACACAAGTTCGTGTGCATATAAAATTTGTGTGTTGAAAATGCGGTAAACTGCCTACGGAAACAATATAAGGGTCACACCAATAACAATCAACAGCTAACACTACCCAAATGTTATTTTAAAGTAGTGGAGATGTGTTTCGAGTAATTAGGATTATATCGACTAAAGCTCTCGATTACGTCACGAGCTTCTGTCGCATCTTAAGTAGCCACCTTTTTGAAGTTGCTATTTTAGATATCTAAAACACACCTCCTGACTACGTAGAATAAAGATCTAACCTCAGGGCTTAATTAAAGTCAGGAGTTACTTTTAAAGTAATATCTCTAAATAGATAATTTTAGATGAGACACCTAAATCATTATAGTTTGGGTAGATTATTTTTGCCAAGAGCAATTGAATTTTTTGAATTTAGGTTTTGACTGCAAGCATAACTTTATAGCGCTGCATACAGTACCAATGATCTATTTTCAAAAATGCTAAATAATACCCCGAGGTATTGTGTGAAGAGGGGATGCACAGGCAGGGCCGAATTCAAAAAACTTTGTAAAATTACAGGCCAGATGTGCAAAAAAATATAGTAAAATGCGGGCCGAATTTTTTAAAAAATAATAAAATTGATTTTGTGGCCTCTAGAGTGCTTTGAGTATGGTATTAATCCGGGATACTTGTATAGTATTAATCCGGGATACTTTTAAAAACCGTTAGAATTTACAATTAATAAAGATACTTTTCAGGAGGATAGTGTATGCAGCGCTTTACGTACATATGTACGGTAATCCTAGATTTACGAGATTGTTTCAGAGTTTATTTATTATAATAGGAATAATCAAAACGAACGGCTTCTTGTATTTTGACGGAAAGAGGTACAGTCAGACCTCCTTAAATGCATATTCCCTAAATGCATAGTCTATGAAAGGCCTCTCTAAATGCATGGTCTTGTTTACCTCAAACTCATGACACTTATAGATTTTTACCTCCTTAAATTCAATACCTCTCCAAATGCAAGATTTTTTGGCCGCCCCACGGCTATGCATTTAGTGAAGTCTGACTATATTACATTTATATCTTCTATTAGTATTCACCTTATGAATATATTCACAATTTCAGTCATCAGCTATATACAGTAATTTGTAACTGTTAATGATACGAACATTTATAAGGGTTCTACCTACCCACGGCATTACGGATATAACATGAAGGTTGTACTACGTAGATTATGCTGCCGTTATGCTGTATATGCAATAGGGTGCTGTGGTTATGATATTTGGTCAACTACGTAAATCAAAACTTATATGCAGTATATATATTATTATTAAGGATTTTTTTATGAATTTAGTGATTAGTAAAAAATGAATTGCATGTGTTTAGATGTCTAGAACGAATCGTTTTACTTCTCAATTGTTTTATCATAAATCTATTCATAAACATGTTTATAACGAAGTTACGTTAAAGAATTTTATGTTCTAGTATTAAAATTTTTACCTACAATGAAAATATCTCTCAACCAATTTTTTATTAAAATTTAAATATTGTCGTTAGAAAATTCAACGTAACTTTGTTTGTTTACTTGTTTAAGAATAGATTTACGCTAAAGTGAAGTGATTCGCTCTAGACATCTAAAAAAGGCAATTTATTCTTTGCTATTGAAATATATATAAAAAGTTATACATAATCTCGATCACTAGCATGTTTACTCAATTAAAAAAAAAACCTTAATAATTACTTTTTATATGGTACTGCATAAAAGTTTTGATTTACATAATTGAATATCCAGTAGTAAAAGTATGTACAAGCGTGTGTGTAGTAATGTGACATATGCAAGTTAATTACTTGCACCCAGCATTCAATTAAAAGAAATTCAAAAAGATCCCGTTTTATGATCGAGACAAATATAATGTCGTTTACTGGTTCATTTACCGTTAAGTCAGCTAATCAAAGAGGCAATTAAACTTTTAAGATATTTGTTTCTAGATTGTCTATCTATATACCTTATATAGAACTTTTCTAAAAAAGTATCTTTTAAAATTTTAACACTATATACTAACTTCATTATTAACCTTAAATAATTTATAAGGATCAAGTTTGATAATTTTAATACTATAATTAATAATTTTCTAAGGCAGCTGATATACATACTCTTACAAAATTTAAATCTTTTTCTAACTCGAAGCAAAGGTATCTCAATAACTTTTTGTTCAAATTTTAAAAAAAATCATCAAATTTAGTAAAATATCTGTCAAGATATTTTTGCTCAAAGCTTTAAATTTTTTAAAACATCTATTAAAATAATAAATAAAAATTATTAAAATTTTAAGGGTAGGGGGCAGTATTTCAAAATTATATATAAACCTAATAGTAAATTTTTTTTATATTTAATTTTATGAAAAATTATA